CGAAGAAATACATGGTGCCTTCACTGGCTGATAAATGCATGGAATATCTGGAAGATAACGTAGATCCATCTGATGTTTTCGGCGTCCTTCCCTTTGCTCAGAAATATGAAGGGAAAAAACTGATGGTTCGATGCTGGGAAGTGATTGACAAACAGACAGAAGAAGCTGTGAAATCGGATGGGTTTGCGGCAATTGAGAGGTCCTTACTTGAAGCAGTAGTCATGAGAGAGACACTGATGATTGAAGAGATAGAGCTGTTTAAAGCTGTTGACTTGTGGGCGACAAAGGAAAGTGAGAGGCAAGGATTAGTTGTAGATGGTGCATCAAAAAGAAGAGTTCTTGGAGAAACGCTTGTGAAAGCACTGCGTTTTCCAACAGTGAAGCATGAAGATTTTGCTAGCGTCGTGTTGGACAGCAAAATTCTAACCCCAGACGAAATCGTTACCATTATCAAATGTCTGAGCTCAGTCCCAACATCTCCAGTGGAGTTTCCAGAAATCAGAAGACCAGGCTTTAAAGTAAGCACTCATAGATGTTGCACATTCGACTGTTTCTTTATGTCTCCTTTCGCTGATGACAACTGTACTCAGTGGACATGTATCCTTAATTTATCTATGGACAAAAATATAACATTACATGGGGTGGGCTTCTTTGGAGCTCTTAATTCCAGTTACTCCATAGATCTAGCCATAATGGACACCAAGAAGAAACAAGTTATGGGGTCTAAAAGTGGAGAGTTTTCTTCAAACAGTTTAGGATGTAAAGTAGGTCCTTATCATGGCTTTGAAGTTATGTTTGACAGGGGCATTGCTTTAGTGAAAAACACCAAGTACTGCTTACAGGCTGAAGTAACTGGTTCTTTGACTTGGCCTGGAGGAAGACATCTCAAAACTGTTCTTTGCTCAGGTGTAACATTTGTTTTTAACCACGAAGCACATTGGAGGGGTAAAAATGGATCAGAAAATTGCTCTTTAGAGGGACGGATTTCTGAATTATTTTTCTCCCTCTAACTGATCCTTCACAGTAGTACTAAAATTGGATAAAAAGGCATCTTTTCATTTTTGTGATTACTTTGCCAGGTTAGTAGCATAGCAGCATAAGGTTAGTTTATGTGATTTGATAATACAAAATAGTCTCACAAAGTGGCCATTATGGGGAGGTAGAGATGTAATACAAGACCTCCTTTTTGGGGGATTGCAACATTTTATATTTTTAAAATGCTTATTGTAGCATATAAATACCCAATGCAATCAAAATATACCATCTAGTAGTAATCAGAGATTAGTGAAGTGCATTTGATACCTGGAGGGAGGAAGGGGGTACTCTAGGAGTTTGTGAGGGGGTGTGTTGCTGGGAACATGAAATTTTGGGTTATAGTAAAGGATATTGAGTCAGTATTGCACATCTGATTGTTGGTTAAGCATCAGAAATACCTTCCCTATCCCATACTATAAATTTGGTTATTTAAATAAAGTTAATAAAAATCAGAAACTCCAGTTCTTTTTATATCCAGATCCCTGATTGTTTAGCAAAAACCTGATTCCTATACCCACAGTAGACTGCTTCAAAAGCATACCACAGCAGCTCATACTTATGCCCATTTATGTCATTTTCCTTCCAGGGTTGTGAGTTGTGTATTTTTCCGGGTATTCTTTAACTTATGTATCATTTATTGGCATCTAATGTCACATTAATCTAAACTTTGCACCATTTAGTAAGGTTAAGTACTGTGTACTGGGACTACAGAAAAGGAAAACAGTACATTACACTTGATTTCCAAATATGTACATCAATAATATTAAGCTTATGTGCAGTTAAATTCCTTGAGCAGTGTGCATTTTCATTTCCTTTTTGTCATTTGTTGTGCTACATTGGAATATTCATAGTCTTTCGCAAGGTTAGTGAAATTGTGTTGATTTATTTGAGCTATTACAGTCGAGCCTTGCAACTTTTTCTCACAGAGAAGTTGAATCACCGAGAAAAACAGCTGACTTGACATATCACAAATCCAGGGGTGGATCCAGGATTTTTCACTGGAGGGGGTGCACCACTAAGGAGTGACGTAACTGACTGCAGGATACCACAAAAGTATATTAGAAAGCCGCATCTCATATTGGGGAAGGGGGGATGGAGGGGTGTGGTGGGCACCCTCTGCGCTTTCCCCCGCCCCTGAAATCGGTATTTCAGAGAAAATGCAGGACTAACTCATTTACATTAAAAGGTTAAAACATGTGCTCTACGAGATGGTTTAAAATCCTTCAAAGTCCTTAATTAGCTCTACTTGCAGAGCGTTCCAGTCTTTGGAGATCCAGGAGAAAAGCGTGGCTCGTGGTTCTGCAGTAAACTTTGACAATGTTATGACGCAATTAATCATCAATAAGAGGACAGACGCATAAAGAACTGACGTCAATTTGTTTTTTACAATAACAAGACTCAAAAATGGTAAAATGCGGTGAATAAATGTGGGAAAAAGACGCCGTAAACTTGACATAAACAAAGATATGTGAATTTTATTCAAAATGACGCGAACATTGTCAACAGCTTTTCTCGCTTTTTGATTGGCTACTTAAAAAGTTAAAAAGTTTAAAAAGGTTAAAAAGTTGTCAGTTTGACAGCTGAAAGTTGGACTTGAAAGCTTACATGAATTAAGAGTTTATCCTTCTGCACTCTTATTGATGAAAAAAATGAGCCAATCAGCACGCGAGAAATTAGACAGTCATTGTAAAAATATATCTCGAGGTGCTGGGAGTCAAAGAAGCATTAGATCTTGTGTTGTGCGGGCGCATTAAGTAAGGCCCAGATCACACTAATGCGTTTTCCAGGGTGCGAAATGAACTTTTTTCAGCAGGTACCAACTGGTGACTGAAATGTTTTTTTCAATCGATGCAATCGATGTAATCACAGGCAGCCCAAGCTCTCTCTATGAACCACACAAGCACAGTCCTCTCTTTATGAAGGGAATACCGGAATTCAAAAAAGTAGCTTAAATCAAGTTAAATAGGTAAAATAACCACACCAGGAGCAAACAACACACGTATGGAATAAGGTAAGCCATTTTTATCGAGAATTTTCACTTTTAAGTACCGCCATGGATAGCTTGTAGAAAATCCCATATAAACCCTTATAATTCGATGCCATATTGTGTTGCTTGTGTGGTTCATAGAGAGAGCTTGGGCTGCCTGTGATGTAATCAGGAATCAAACCAGTGCTGAAATCATCTTTTGACCGCTTTGACAGATCTACATTTCCACCTTTTGACGCCCAGAGAAAATCTAAATCTTCATCTAATTTCTTCGCGGTTGTTCCGTCTCCACCTTGAAATAAATTACGGAAAGATTTCAGAACATGTTTGGACACCACATCGCCTGAATAAATATTCATGGCCAAAGAACGCATGAGGACAGCAACGGTTGTCAAGTTAGGGGTCACGTGGGTGAAAACCAGGAATACGTATAGTATGGGAAACCACTGAAAAAACATGGCGGCGAAGCTTCGCACTGATCGTAGCTGTAAAACGTTGTGGTAGATTTATAATAACAGAAAATCGTTTTTATACTTTAAAAGCAGCGGAAAGGTAAAAAGGAAGTGACCAGTTGGCGGGCAGCTTTGAATTTTATTTTAATCGGTTTGGCTGAAAATCAAAGTTATTGTTTGTGTAATTATCGTGGCATGAAATAGTTAAGGCCATCCCCCTTTTTTGTTTTCGTTTATTGTCGAATGCGTTTTCTAATTTTGGGTCGGTCGGTCGGAAAAGGAAAAAAAAGAAAAAACAAAAATAAAATTGGAAAAGGAGTCTGGAACTAGGAGGCCCGGTACCTCAGCATAATATCCGTGGAGCCTGGAAATAACAAGGTGTGGTTACAAAGTCAACATCGCGGCAAAGGAGGAAGGAAAAAGTCGACGTCGTTGTGAAAATCAAACGAGAACAGGGAAAAACTAAAAATCTGTAAGGCAAAAAATTGCTTATGTTTCAGATTAAAGTGACAATTGTTTGAAATAATGTGTCATTGCCTTCATTGCCTTCTGTGTAACTTTGTTTGTTTTTTTGTTTTTTGAAAACGCGAAAATCTGGGTCGGTCGGACGACGCTAAACTGAGAAAAAAAAGGAGGGGATGGGCTAATCGCCCGCTGGCAATTAGTTGTGAAATTCTGGTCGCCAGTGCAAAATTTTTAGTCGCATTGGCGACCAGGAAAACGCAATTTCGGACCCTGTTTTCGTTTGAAAACGCATGCTAACTCACACTTTTTGATGCGTTTTCGCATATCGACCACACTAAAACGCCCAAAACGCTGATGAAATCGGAGGCTTTCGAAAACGCTCTGTTTCTAGTGTGGATGGACAGGTGAAAACGGAGATTTTTGAAAACGGTACGTGACGAGAAACTGAAAAGCGTTATATACTGTCGCTTCCATCAGCATTTTCGGGCGTTTCAGTGTGGACAAGTGAAAACGCATTAGTGTGGACAGGTGAAAGCCGACAAGAGAAGTCGTTGACATTTTTGGTGTGCTTCTAACGGCGGCCTTTCTATAGAATGCAGTAAGCGAGTTGCAGCTCCTTTCTCTTGTGTAGTTACTTTTGACAAACCGAGCTTCTCGTCGCTGGACAGGCTTCGAGATTCCACGTAGCCGAAACATAGTTTAGGTAGCCTAATGCAGTTTCGGAATATATATGGGTTATTGACCAAGTGTGAGGTCAAGATGGCTGGATATTGGCCAAGTTCTTTTTTGGCGAGTTCATGGACCGAGACGGAGTCGAGGTCGATAAACTCGCAAAAAAAGAACGAGGCCAATATCCAGCCATCTTGGCCGAACAGGCTTGGTCAATAAAGGATTTATTATATTGCTTTCGGGGAAATTTTTCTCGCGAGACACGGCGGGTAGTCCCGAGCGGGCAAGATAGCTCCATCTTGCCCGCGCGGGTAGCCAATCACAGCGCAGGATTTGATTCATCTCGCCCGCTCGCGGAGCTAGCTATATAATAATCGAAACTAATATCAGAGTTTGATTAAAAATATAAAACAAACAGCGGTGATAAACATTTTAAAAACATGCATTTTATGAACTTGACATTTCGTATGTTTCATAAAATGCATGTTTTTAAAATGTTTATCACCGCTGTTTGTTTTATATTTTTAGTCAAGCTACGATGGCCGAAGACCAAGAGTTTATATAATATCAGAGTATTAGAAACTAATTTCAGCGGTTATAATCCATCAAATATTTTCGCTCGCGCGCTATTGGTGTAAACGTGCCACCTGACTGAATATACCCTAGCTAAAACTGAGGAATACGTCGGAGAATACCGGTATCTGAGTGTTATAATCCATCAAATATCTTCGCTCGCGCGCGATTGGTTTAAGCCCGTCACGTGACTGAATATTCTCCTAAAACTGGGGAATATCCGAGTGATATTCCCCAATTTATAAAACCGCGCGTGTTGCGAAAACTATTGGAAGGACAATTAACGCAATAGCACCCATTTGGCGCGAAAATGTGCCCGGATATTTGTCCTTGGACACTATCTGTTTCTCAAAGTTCACAGTTTTCCTCAAGTTTTCCCCAGTTTTCGCTTCTCGGAACAGATAATGTCCGCGGACAAATATCCTAGCATATTTCCGCGCCAAATGGAGGCTATTGGCGATATATTCCCAATTTTCAAAACTGCGCGTGTTGCGAAAAATATTTGAAGGATAATGAACACAATAGTCTCCACTAGGGACGAAAATATGCTCGGATGTTTGGCCTTGGACATTATCTGTTCCTGGCCTCTCGGAACAGATAACGTCCGCGGACAAATATCCTAGCATATTCTGGAGGATATTGTTCGTTTATGTTGAGCCTGTTAACCTCTGCATCTGCCATGTTCACCGGTGTTCCCCTCAAAAAAACCGCTCCAATTTTCCAAAGTTTCTCTCGGGTGTTACTATCAGGCTATGTAAAAACACGCGCGGTTTTCTGGTTAAAGAAAAAAAAATCAACGCACGCAGGCAGTGAACTAGATTTATTCCATTAACAAGGCACATAACCACAAATATGGAGGCCCCTTCTGGTCAAAATGGTGCATTTAATTTTTAACTGTGCATAAATTAATTTTACATGTTGATAGAATTAATTTTTCGCATCTCTTAAACATTTTGTTTAACCTCCAAATTAATTGTACCATTCCTATTAGTTATATTTTTAGTAGACTAATATTTTGTGTGTTTATAATTAATTTTGTGTGTTTGTAATTAATTTTGTTTGTTTGTAATTAATTTTGTATGTTTCTCAAAATCCCTTTACCCATAACACCTTGCGGTAGTTCTCTGCCATGTGCTGCCAAAGAACGATGGCGACGACCCCTTCGAATTCGATTCTCGAACAAGTGAAAGAAATTGCACAAGCTGGGATCGACAGTATTAATCAGCTAACCTCGTTAATTGATAACTTTGAAGTGTAACCTCTGTAATATTTCTTATGGATATGTATAATATGGTGACAGCAACAA